GTGAAAAAATCTGCATTTTAAAGAGTGAAAAAAGTTTATATAAACGTGGATCAGGAAATACTTCATTTCCCTGATACGGGGTATTGAGATATCGAGGGAGTTTTGATACATGCCAAACTTTTACAATTTTACATTTACCTGTACAAAAATATTTGCTAAAACACTCACATCAGTGACGTTCGTGTGGGCAAATTACATGTAGAATATATCCTAAAATTTTCTAGCCTGTAAATTACTTATATATTCAGCCAACTTTTTTTTACATGATTTTCCAACAAAAAAATCCCAGAAACATAGTTCCCAATTAGAAATAGAATTTTTCCAAAAATTTTCCAGCCTGTAAATTAATTATATATCCAGCCAACTTTTTCTTTCATGATTTTCCAACAAAAAAATCCCGTAAATATACGTACGAAACGGCATAGTTTCAAGGTATCAAACTTAAAAACATTTTGCCTAAATGTAGAAAATAATACTTTGTTTTAATTTGAAAGCCACATTTGCGGTAATAATTGACAAATGATTTTTTTTATTACTTGGATTTTTTAGGATTAAGCAACCAAAAATTCATTTTTCTCGTTAAAAAAGTTTTTGTTGTTCGACTTTTACTTTTGATCTCCTGAGTTTTACCTGCTTAATCCTTGTGAATTGGGGTACATTTTATTTACCCTCTGTACGAACTTTATGTCCTAACTTTTTGCAAAACTTCTGCATTCCTCCTGCGTCGGTTTTTGCTGAGTCGAACTTGCTGACGTTTCGCCAATCATCCTGTTGGCTTCTTCAGAGCTTGACTGAAACAGTTTCAGTCAAGCTTCTTCAGGCGAGACGTCAGCAAGTTCGACTCAGCAAAAACCAACGCAGGAGGAATCCAAAAGTTTTGTAAAAAGTATTGTAAAGTAGCCTGTGGAAGTTTCTTTGAAAATTTTGTGTCCTAAAATCACGTAAGGAGTCCCTCAAAGTTTGGCGGCGTATTTTTTTAACCCCCCGCATATATTTTTAGTTTTTTTTTTTAAATGGATAAATCGTTTCCTGAACAAAAAAATTAAAAGAATTCCGCATAAACCTAAGAAAATATTTAAAATTTTACTACCCGCGCGCGATTTTACGACACTACGTTACGCCCGGAGCGGCTTCTGCGCGTTCGTTCGTAGTTAACGGTGTGCGTTTTTTACCTCTCTCTCTCTCTCTTTCTCTCTTTTCAGGCACACAGAACTGGCCAAATATTAATTACAGTTCCGGCATTTCGCAAATAAAATATCGGCAAACCCCACGGCAAATTGAATATTTAAAACGAGCCTCGCAAATAATCGCGTCTCTTTCGAAAGCTGCGCGCTCAATATATACAGGATGTCCTGCTATACGTTATTTCCGTAACATTGAGAAATGAGAAATAAGTTAAGCAGTACAATTTTTTCTCAATTGAAGTGGTCCAAAAAAATTTTTGAAATTAACCGACGATATTTTTGCTGCTGGACCACAGTCAGATAAAATAAATCCGCCCCGCCCTGATAGCAATTTTAAATTATTTATTAGTGTTTTATTTTCATTATCTTAGTTTTTTTTTGGTAAAAATCAAATAAGGAATCTGTACTGTACTGAAATTTAAAAAAATCTGGTTAAATAACACCGGTCAACACGACTTTTGGGTCTGAGTCCCACATGTTAAATTTCAGTTTCTCTTTCACCAAAAACAAGGAAAAAAAATTTTGAATAAAATTTTGCTTTCCTAGAAACGAGAGCAATTTTTCATTGTTTCTGCAAAAAAAAATAAGTTTTTTATGGTTTTATTTTAGGTTATGATAAGAAAGGTTTTTTTTAATATTAGTGTTTTTTATTTATAATTTGCAATAAATAATAGCCTATAAATGTAAAATAACAAGAAGTAAGTGTCTAAAAATGAATATTCTTCGTATGGGCTCTCTCGGATTAAACTCCAAATGTACTCTCCCATCATATTCCCGTTGTACTTCCCTTGATAATGTCGTTCAAAACGTTCTTCTGGTTCTTCGCCTACTGTTAATCCATGTTATCTTTAAATTCCTCTAAATTAAATTGTAGCATATGAAGTTTGTGAGACATTCTGCAGCCTCAGCTTTGAAGCAGGTTTTCAATCAATTGTTTAAAATTGTCAGCTCTATGATTTCCGAGCCAGCCATCAACTTCTGCGTTAAAACTCTTCCAGGCTTGTTTTTCATAAGCACTAAGAAGCTTCGTTAAGTCATCATTTTTCATTATTTGTTTTATTTGTAGTTCAACGAAAATACCCCCTTTAATTTTAGCTTAAGATAACTTAGGAAAAAATTATATATATTCAGAGCTTTCACAAATTGCATCATTAAGCCTTATTTTACATGTAATGGCGGCATCAGTACATTTTGAGGCTATGCGATTGGTTCCAACTTTACGTTATGTTTTCCAATATGAAATTCGACTCGACCGAGCGATCTGCGCTGTTGAAAATACACTGAATCTGCTCTGCTAGCCTATTAGCAAAGATGACAGGGGTATTTAGTATGCATTGCCATCATTGCCACTGGCTACTGATATTCTGTGTATTTTAATTTTTCTAGTATTATTTTCACGCTGTCGCTCAATAATACATAATGGGCTAGAGGAAGACATTTCCGTTGTGAAGCAGAACTGCTTTTAATCTTTAATAAGAGCTATGGATAAAAAGTCCCCAGCATTCAAATTGTCTCAACCATTTATGGCGCCCTCTTTGGTCAGTTATTTTTACGTCATCTTCGAGCTTTAGTCGTGAACCTAGAGTTTCCGTTTTACTCTTGAAAAGGTTCAAGTCTGGGACTAAATCATTAAATTCAATTGGACTGATAAAATGTGGCCTGAAACTTTGGAATTTTATCATGATTTCTCTTCCATTAGTGTTGGTTAGTGGAGTATCGGATGCTGTTGAACTTTGTGACGTTTGAACCACAGAACTATCTGAACGTGATAGCACAGGAAAATTTTCCATTTTCCTGCATTTTCACCAGATCGATGCTTACTTGGATTAACCATATAAATAAAACAGTCATAGACGTGATCACTTTTTTCTCTAGAAGAAGCTAGAAATAACATAATTACGACTACTGTATTATGATTTAATTTTGGTAGGCATTTTTAAAACTCTTAAATTTCAGTTTATTACCTTCTAAAGTAGTTTTACAATTAGTACAGGCAAAGTGTGGTAGTCAATTTTGATCCTGATTACTGATTTTTAGGTTAAAATAACTAACTAACATTAATCAATTCACAACAAATTAAAAAATGAATCAACATCATATTTACACTAACTAAGTAATACATAAATACAGTCGTTACAGTTGAGATAGACCAGTTACTACAAACTTTGTCAAAGTGCTGGCATCTTTGACTTATAAAATAAATTAAATCGATGTAAATCACACAAAAGCGAACTTTATGGACTAAAGATGGAAATTTGTATGTTTTTCGATGTCTAAAATCAGAATTTACTCATGAGAACAGAAACCCAAAAAAAAGTTGTTTTTTTTGTCGACCGGTGTAATTCACCACTTTTCTCTCACCGCGTTCTACTAAAAGGTGTAGCATCGGGAAATACGAGTGTGACTAAGAAGTTGCTAAAAATTATGTGACTTACTAGAAAATGCCCAGATTCTCTTTATAATAAAACTGAATTCCGTTATCAGTCGCATTAATTCATAAACTTGTGATCACAGTCATTCCGGTGCATAATCACATCCAGATCCATCCATTCTTGTTGTAGGCAAACACATTGCGTAAGGAATTAAAGTCGCCCCCTGGTTATGAAGCTAATAATTAATATTATTCGTAGGTTCAATTCGTGACATTGGCTAGATAATATTTGTTATGAATAAATTTTTGTTCTTTTGTTTGAGCCTTATTAAAAGAAATACGTTATCACGGAACACCCTGTACATATATTATACGCATCCGATGCCAATCACGCGCCATGTTTAAAAGATTTTATTATTCAGACGGTATTTAATATTAATCGATCCCGCGTTATTATGCGATCGAAAAATGGCGAAGATATACGTTTCGGTATTCGTATTTGTAAGTCCGCGCGTTTGGAAAATAGTTGCGGGGATCAATGTTTTAACGGATTATGGAAATTGCGACTGAAATAACGAGACCGATGTCTTCGAAGGCCGAACCAGTTACCTTAGAAGTATTAAAATACTAGCCGCTATTTATACTAAACGTAACAATTCGTCGCGGATGACATGACCGCGAAATAGACGATCCCAGCGCCCTCCCTCGTGCACATTTAAACATTTTAAAAGGAGGTTCTTTTTGTCGGTAAATGATAATAACAGATTTAGTGAAAAACGAAAAAATTAATCAGTAATTGATTGTTGGTAGAAACATTTATATTTATAATATCGGTACATGAATGTAGGCAACATCTAAAGAGAAATCAGATATAACTAAGTAATTATAACTTTTAGCTAATAGTTTCTTTGATAATAGTATAGCGCAAATTATTTTGTTTTCCTTCTTGCAATTTTGTCAAAAATTGTCAAAGGAAGGTTAAAAAATTTTCGCGATAGAACGATAGAACTGTCTCAACCATACTACTTATTTGTCACTATGAAACACGTAGTTGAAAAAAAAGAATATTTCAAGCATCGATATTAAATAGTATATTGTGTAGAAAGTGTGGTAAACGGCATTTGAGTCACGAGTTTATCTGGCACCAGCAGAGCGCAGCTGAGCCGGTGTTTAATAAACGACTGACTTAAAAAGTTTACCGAACGTGTCGCATACTATACTTTTTCCACGACCATTGGTAATATCTCTGAAAACATTCAGTTACTCGGTATTTGACTCATGAGTTTATTTGACACGAGCGGAGCGCAGCGGATAAACGAGTGACTTAAAAAAATTTTTTCTTGTAAATCTAGGCACGTTACTTTCTGAAATACGATCAAGAGCTATCATTGTTGTTTCAATAAAGGAATATGCGTGGCCCACGACTAATATTTTTCGCGTTCCAGGTGCAGCACTACATCCTGGTGGTCCAAGCTCAGGATTCCGGCCTCCAACCCCTATCCAGCACCCTTACCGTCTACTGCAACGTGCTCGACCTCAACGATAACGCGCCATTGTTCGATCCGATGTCGTACAGTAACGAGGTGTTCGAAAACGTCACGGTGGGAACGCATATCGTCACCGTCAGCGCGACAGACATGGACTCCGGTAAGACACCGACAAAAACCGTTACGGTCCTGTCTCGGTTTTCGCGTTTTCGCGGCAATTTATAACGAATTTTTCGCACGCGGCGGGCCAGCCCAATGAACCTGTCGATTCCGAGAATGAACGACCGTCAGGATCTTGACGTCCATACGTAATAACGCGACGCTGGGTACTTTGCATGCGGTTAAACGTCCGACACGGAGCTATTTGCATACGTTTTTCGTAGGTGAAGACGTCGCGTCGTGCGAACGTCTCTAGTTGGTACGTTCGTCGCTCGTCGATGCGTGGGATAGCGAAGAATCGATGTGTTTCGTATTGCCGTCGCATCTTGCGAAAAAATGCGAACTAAATATATTCCATTCGTAAAACGAAAACCGATAAATAATGCAATTAGTTATTTTGGATTTTCAAAAGACAAAAAAAGAACGTCCTTGATATTTGGAAAAAAATGTTGAGTAAATCGCTTTGGAATAGAATGCCGGACATCGCTTTCTAGTTTCCGAAATGAGGGCATAATTGTCATGTTGCCTGCAAAACTTTCTTAGATCACCCATAGTTTTGATTCCAAAAATTCAAATCTTTTTGCTCTGAAAACGAAGCGGCAGCAGATGTTTGAACACATTAGAAAATAAATGTCTCCAACTTCAAAAAGGTTTAAAACATTTTCGTATGCTTGAAATCATTAAAAAGGCTATCTTACGAATAAATAATTTCAAATACAATGGTATGGCTTTTTTACGTCAATTTTGGGAAACATTCCCACTTCCAGTTGTCAATAATGTTTTTATTACCTTTTTACAATACCTTCGAACCGCACAAAATGCCCTCCAACTATTATAACTATTAATATTTTTCCTCAATACCGTACCTAGTTGTTCTTATTGAGACAAAAGGGCGCTGGTTTACGAAGAAGAAAGAAATAACTTTGTTTGATTAGGTTTTTGCAATATAAAATAAGAATTGTGTCCGGTTCCAAAGCACTTAACTTAACAAACAATATAAAACGTGAAGTGTACTCAAAATAATTATATCAATTGGAAGACGGCGGTTTCAAATAAAGAGAAATAAAAATGCCGTTTATATATGAAGTAAGACGGCAGTGAAGAAATATTACAAACAACAAAATTTTCTCGGTCGATAACGATTATTTGAAATGGACAAGAGCGATTTATTTAAAATTTTAATGTCTAAAAATGGCAACCACTATTAAAACCTTCATTCTTTTTTCGGATATTAATTTATTTATTTTATTTTATTAATATCAATTTACAATTAGTGAAAAATAATAACATTGACAAAAAGGATTGCACTTCGATTTAAAAAAAAACGGTCACACAAGCTTTAAGCATATGTGCCACAAATAAACAAAAATATACAAACACACAGTATTTAAGTATCTATGTAAAGACCATCGATAACAATGAAATACCAAAAAATTAACTAATGCGCTTTTGCTTTTCCATTAATGTCTTTTTTTTTATGTGAAAGGCAAATTGTGTAACTGAGAGCTCCCTCATATGACCGGCCAAAATAAATAACTTTTGAAAAGTCGCCATTCTGTGTTTAGGACCCTGAAGTCCTAAGAACATTGAACTGCTTCGTAAGATATTCAGGTTGACCGGAGTTTAAAGTTATATAAACAAAATTATGCATATTACACTCTCTGCGATTAGTCATATTCAGTATATTGCTGCTATTTAAATATGGCGTAATATTATTACAAAATGCGATATTGTAAGAAAAACGCATACAAGAATTTGGAACTTTCTGTGAGTATTTGGTGAGCTTCCATAAACAACGTCCGCATAATCAAAGATGAGACAATCCTACAAACTTTGTTTGTTATTAATATGCGATTGAAAAGCAAAAGATTTGTCAAAAATTACTAATAAATTCTTAGCCTCGGTAACGTTGAGTAAAAATTAATTATTTATGCAATGCTCAAAACTGCCCGTTATTTTATTTTTGAGTTTGAGATTATGGTTCATAGAATACTATTCAAGTCAGGATTGTAGTTTATTAGAGAACATTTTAAGTCATCTGTAGAAAAAGAAATGTAAATTTAAGAATCATCCGCATATTGTTGCATCACTAAATATTTGATTCGCTCATTCATATCTGCTACATAAAGACTAAACAATAACGGTCCCAAAATAGAACGTTGGGGCACTCCAGTAGTGATTGGGGTATAGTCAGGTTTTTCTAGATTAAATTGTTTTCTAACTGCAATGCAATGCGCTCTATTGCTCATATATTGCTCCATGAAGTAAAAACAGGTCCAGCTGAGAAACCAAAATAATGAAGTTTTGCCAACAATCGTGTCAAAAGCTTTACTAAAATCCAGAAGCTTCCCTCCTATCTTCATTGTGACGTAGTAGTACTAAAATGTGGTCTAAACCTTGATTGACAGTCTTGAATGATTTTGGCCAAATTGATACAGGTAGACTTTTGGAAAAACTGGAAGTATACTGATTGGTCTTAGATCTTTTGAGTCATTGGGATTTCATATCTTCTTGTATCTAACCAACCAAATTCTACATTGTATGGTTTTCTTTATCAGTTATCAGTGACTTTTATCATTTCATTATTTCTATTCGACCTTATGTAGGGCAGCAGATGCTGTGAACGTGTTGATCTTCACGAGCTTCACACGCACATTCCTCGCATTAGAAGGTGGTTCCCAACTTGGAACCTGTTATGTTTTTGGAAGTCCTCACTATTGGACTCGCGCTTAAAACGTTTGCAAAAAGAAAAACCGCTTCCCAAGCAATTTTTCCCACACCGACACCGGTAAGGTTCGCGAGAGAGGTCACCACCTCACCCCCACCACCGGTCGCTAGTGTAGTAGAATAATGCGGCGGGAAAACGCGGAATAGAAAAATTCAGCGGTACAATCGCCGAAGCTAACTTGTAATTTTGTTCGCCGGTCCGACGATCTGTCACTTTTATTAACAATTACCGACGCGCTTCGCTCGGTAACCACGGATTAGGTACTTGTTGTGTCGCGTTGGTGACAACAAACATCTGGTCGGTCAGGCGATTTAAAAAATCTGATTTTCATTATTTTAAACGTGGCGTGCGATTTGGCACCGCCGCGTACGCTCGCAGATGTCACTGATGTCAGTCCTATATCACGTGGCGTTCCACCGATGCGGCTTACAATTTATATGAATGAATCTTGGATTGAACCACGCCTCCTGAAAGTCGTACGTAACACATTACTCAATTAAAACAATTGACGGTGTTGAAAATTACCCAACCAATGTTTCTGGTTTCGCATAGAAAATTAACGTTTGATGCGACAAATATGTCTGCAAAAGTGTCCACCTACCGCCATTTAAAATAAATTTAGTTAGTTAGATTTTGAAAAATAAGAAACAGCTAATACTATATACTAATATAAATAGGCAAGAGTTGGTCCATTCTTTAAAACAAAAAACTCAAAAGGGATAATTCGAAGCGAAATATTTAACATCAAAACTCGCATAGCAAACAAACAACTGGACTAACTCTCCCCACACTATACGTAAACTATCTTTTTGACAATGTTTTGCTACACATTACATATATTTTGAACTATTTTCATGGCCTTTAATACATAATACAATCAATACATTTTTAATATTAACTTTCACTACACCCACAAATGGTATTTGTCCCATTCTTCTGGTCCATCAGCAACTTATCTGAAATATTCATTCATTCATTCATTTCTTTTTTTTAGTCTTTTTATTCTTAAGTTTTTGTCATCACACATTTTCTATCCTTTTTTCATCTTTCTTATTTATCAATGCAATTTTGAAACTTTTGATACGTCAACATAATTTCAAAGAACCATAAAATAAAGATTAGCAAGAATTACGACCAACAATTTTCATAAGTTTCTCAGCATTGCACAAACATCTAGAGAAAATAAGATCCATATTAAGATCTATAAAAAATTTTAATATATTGAAAGTGGCCATCTTCCTCGGTGGCTCATCTCTCCCGAAATTAACCTATAAACACAACTATTTAGAAAATTGTTTCCAAAATTTATGTTTACAACAAAAAATTTTTTAGTTTCTACATGACCTTATGAGCATTTGCGCCAAAAGCAATGTTTCTATGGCCAATGTAACAAAAAACAATTTCGGGAGGCCATCTTTTGTACTTGTAATATTGGAACCTAAAATAATATATAGAGTGTTTATATCTTTATAAAATTTTATAAATCCGCTTGTAAAAAATGCAATTCTGCAATTCAAATACCAAACTCAAAAATTTCATTCACACTTAGCTTTGGTTTTTGAAGTATAATAGGAAACGTACCAACGTATGGGTTGACCACGAGCCGCCCTTATCCTTCCATTGCGTTACCTCGTCAGCATTTCGCTTCGTGCTGAAAACCAGCATTCTTCTCTCGCGTTCCGGTTTCTTTTCTTCACAGTTAAAAACTGCCGCGGGCCAGTCGCCATTTTTTAAAAATTATTTTCGCCCAGCGGGTCCGGTGCGTTCGATACGCCTATCTCTCTCTCTTTTTCCTTTGAGAGCTTAATTTTGCGATGAAGGGCGTAGCGGCCTTTTCATATACGCGCTCTCTCGAAACGAATGCTGTGGTGCACCGCCGTCATTAAAAATAACCGTTTCCGAACCATCTTGGGCAAATCTTCACACACGAACTAAAGCCAAACTGCGACTCTGACCAAAAGGTTTTCTTTTTTTTTACAATTAAAACGCTGAGGATTTTCATTTCGACAATTGATATTGCTATGATATACCACGAAAGTACAGAGCTGTTCTAGGGGAGGCAGTAAAGCCGTGCGGGTATAATGTATCGAAAAATCTAAATGCATCGCACTGGCCATAAAGAATAGGGACGCACCGCAGATAGAATAGGAACAGGAATAGAGACACCATGTATTTTGATTCGTTTCCTACTCCAATGTCACTTTCTGATCATTTTTACAAAATATTTCCTTTGATTTCTACCAGTTTTCTTTGCGGAAAGTTTATCGGTAGTCAGGTAAGTAGCCAGTAGTGCTATGTAAAGTAATCTGTTCAAAATCATAGTATCATTGCGGAATACCACTCTGTACTCTGTATTCTGTATATCTATACGCTAAGATTTTCTATAAAAATAGTATTATTTTGGCATATGCGTTTGTACAGTTCCAAATTTCATTATGGCAATACTTTCGTCTACGTATTCCAAGGGATTTAGTTCCGAGCTGTATACTGCTAAGGGAATATTAGCATACTAGTAATTTTATCTTCCTGCTGTTTCTCCCACCGGAGGTGCATCTCATAAAGCCGTGTTTGTGTAATTTTACTAAAGCTAACAGCATACTGAACCATCGGGGTTAATTATATCCTGCCTTTATTACCTACCCGAGTATAATAACATTTTAGCTATATAATTTCATTTTATTATATCTACGCGTATGGACGACCCCGAAATTGACCCGTATTGAACGTAATTCCATTTTTTAATTTTTTTATTTTATTAAATGATCGTTAAATATATGCATATAATTATAACATTATGTCCGACCAAACCGAACTGAAATGGAAATTTGGTCAATTTGCGTTCCACGTTTCTATTGCCCAACGAACTGTTTCCATGCATTAATATAAGCGTTATTTTATTGTATATACTAGCAATTGCCCCATTTTGCTCGGAGTTGCATTTTGGGCTCGCTACATTGTACATGCTCTATCGCCAAAAATAGAGGATAATATGGCATTCCGTTCATAATTTTCTCTCAATTCTTTTATTTGCTTTTTCGTCAACGCTTTGACTTCGGACACGGTTTTCATTGATTTTAATTAGTCGTATATACCTTTAACGTTACGTCACAGTTTTAATAAACAAACGAAAACATGTTTCGTGACGCAAAAACATTGCAAACTTAATGATTCGAAGGTTTAACATTCCCATCACGGACATTACTTTAACGATTATTGAAATCTGCGAGAATAATGGCTTTCGATGCTCATAAAATTTGTACGTCTGTGCCCGTGTCGTCGACGGCCATGCGAAATTGCTTGGTCAAGGGGCACGTTCATCCGTAATCGGCTAAACCGAAAACCAACTAACGTTCGAAATTCTTCCCTCGTCAGGTACCAACGGTAAAATATCGTACAGCATTACGTCCGGCGATCCCAACGGCGATTTCCAGATCGCGCAAAATGGTTCAATCACCACAAGGAAACTTTTGGACCGAGAGACGACGGCTCTCTACAATATGGTCGTCACCGCAACGGACCAGGCGGTCCAACCAGAGAAACGGCTATCGTCTACGGTTCAAGTGAGTTTTGTCGATTTCTACTATCGATCCTGCGATAGAGAAATAATTACATAGTACCAGTTAAGGAAATTCTAGCAATCTCTGAGTTTCCTAGTTCGCCTTTTTTTCCCTTTATCCTCTGGCGACTGCCAACTCTTTATCAACTAAATTAAAAACGAAAATCCTCTCGATCAACCGAAACGCCGCCTCTCCGTTATATCGCATACAACGTGCCTGATGTCGATATTATTTTCCGAACCCGCATTTCATCTAAACCCAATCAGATCTAATTAAACATTCAATACGTGATGCGCTTGTCCTCAAAACGCCCGCCGGAGCGTGACTCGACAACCCGGTGCTTCTACGAAATACGTACGTATACAGGGTGATTCACAAGTCGCTTGATCGCGCTGCAGGAATACCTGAATTCGCCGATCCGACGTACTTTCGAAGATGCAGAGATTTGATGTTCCTTAAATTTTGCTAATGGTTCACTAATACAAACGGCTAGTTTCTCTGATGCTCGTGGCAGTCTTTTTCAGAGCTCCTTTCATTTTCGTGTACCGCGCATTTCTGGGAGTATTGGGAACAAATAGGGTACTTCTGAGGAGACTAATATAGACGATGGAACGATTTATTAGGAAACCAACCACTCCAAAGAAGATGAGCATTCAATACAATAAGATGTTATATAAATTCTGATCTGAACATGCTAAATTTTAAACAAATTCACCACTAATCAAGTGGTCAATTTTTGGACACAATCAGCTGCTCGTGAATCACCTTGTATACATACAATACAGACTACCCGTATATGGTGAAGGTGATTAAATTGTTTCGTTGCCGTTCCTTATTTTCTCTAGCGGCGTTAAAGCCTTGCATAAACGTTCAAATGTTTACTCGACAAACACTCGGACGGTACGCTAATGATGCGGCACCTCCACCCGTTGTTTGTTTAGCGCTTAATAAAGAAATTTTCTTCTTCGAGGCCACGCGGTCGTCTCACGTAACGTTGATCTGTTGGAATTTTTCTAAATTAGATATTGATGACAATATCATCGTATCATATTTATGCCCTTACACTCCTTAATTTCGCCCAAGTCCAAGTTAATCATATCCCACATATGTCATCCTACATAAAAAAGTTGATTTTCTGTGTACTACAGTAAAGTCTGTTAAACTTCAAAGTTCCAAGTCCATTTACATTCTCTTTTCGTTAAAATAGTGGAAACGGGGGTTTTCTGTAAATTTAGTAACCGAAAGTATAAGTTGGCATTTTATACTCTACCAATAACCTCACTTTCGCACACCAAAGTAGCTTTAGGTTGCGATCCTTGATGAAATTCATTTAAAATATACTTTCCTCAAACCTGCAATCCTTAACTCGAAAATTCAACAGTTTTTCCATCAAATTGGTCCCTCCATCTCCGCTTTGGTCATCATGGATTATAATCTTTCAGTATTTTTTATTTTTATTTTAAAAACCTCATTTTTCATTATTCTAACGTCATCTTTTTCAACACAGGTGACGGTTATCATAAAAGACGTGAACGACATGTCTCCCGAATTCGTAACACCGAACGAAACCAGCGTGATGGAGAACACCGATAAGAACACGGTAGTGATGGCGATTAAAACCGTAGACAAAGACGAAGGCAGAAACGGCTACGTGGAGTACTTTTTAGCCTCCAACGGCGTGTTCTCTTTAGGCCCGGTGGACGGGCTGCTCCGAGTAGCGGGAAACATCGACAGAGAGTCCAGGAACAACTACACGCTTCTGGTAACGGCCAGAGATCGAGGCGATCCTCCCAGATCCACCAACACCACAATCGCGGTCAGGGTGTTGGACGAAAACGACAATAGTCCTGTTTTCGATCCCAAACAGTATAGCGCGTCTATTGCAGAGAACGCTTCTATCGGAGCTAGCGTCTTGCAGGTATGTATTAAGGGAGGACCAACCACGAGCCCTCCTAAACTCCACGTTTGTTCCTTAGGTGTCTGCCACCGACGTAGACGACGGACTTAACGGCAGAGTCCGTTACTCCATTAGCAACGGGGATGACAATCGCGACTTCAGCATCGCCGAAGACTCGGGTGTCGTGAGGGTGGCCAAGAACCTAAACTACGAGAGGAAATCGCGATACGTTTTGAACGTAACGGCGGAAGACTGCGCCGGTGACGTCAGCGAGGGCGTCGTCAGATCCGATACGGCCGAGATTACGATTTCCGTGAGTAACGGCGTCAAATGGTTAATGCGTCGGGGACTAACTCGAACTTGATCGCCAGGTTTCCGACATTAACGACAACCCACCTACGTTTTTGGACTCGCCATACCTTGCCTACGTCATGGAAAACGTCATACCACCCAACGGGGGTTACGTGGTGACTGTGCACGCTTATGACGCAGATACACCGCCGTTCAACAACTTAGTGAAGTACTTCATTAAGGAGGGCGACACGGACATCTTCAGGATCAACGCTTCCACCGGAGATGTGTCACTGCTGCGGGCGTTGGATAGGGAGGTGCAGGACGAGTACCAGCTCAGTTTAGTCGCCATGGATACCGGTGAGTGATATCGAATTATATCTACTTCTGCGTCTCGGTTAGGTACAGTAGAATACCTTGGCTAGATGTCTATATGAACTAGTTTAAGTGATAACTGGTATTGCAACGTTATGATTGCTAGATAATTTGACAGCTATATAATGTTGTATTATGTAAACAACGGTTGGTGCATAATTATGTGATGAGTTCTTTCCAAGAAATCTACTGTAAGAAGACGCAAGAGCGACAGAAAGTGTCTCTTGTGTACGCCACCGCTAACGCTTGTATTACACACATTTCATCTGCTCCAAGTTGTAGTAGGTCAACTCTATCTCTGTATTATTTGTATTTAGGAGGTCACACTATAGGGCAGCACTTGGTCAGTGCATAAAAAAGCAGCAATATAAAAAAAGTACATTAAAATCATCAAACCCGTTTTCAAAAGCAATGGGTGGAAGACTAAATTGATGTTCGACGAGCTGGTTGTCAACTAAGTTAAGTAAGACAGCAACTCTTCTTTTGTAGGTGGTAGGCACAATAGTGACACTAAAAGGAGTTAAAACGGAACTTTCATTCTTGTATCGTACACAATGTTTTGGTCACTGGAATAATGGAAGTGCGTTAGAGTTTCATAAAGCGCAAAGTAAAACTCAAAAGAAACGAATCTGTTTCAGGGAGCATTTAAATGCTTAACTTAACATTTTAACCATTTAGTCGTAGTAACCTTAAACCAATGGCACCAATACAAACTAATGTAAATATGGATTGTGAACAACCGATTAATGGCTATAGTGCACTTGACTACTTGAAGTGCGCAGCAGATTTTTCCTTTCTGCGTTTCGTACCAGGTTGTCTAGCTCCAGTTCGTCTAGGTGGTCCGACCAATCGGAACTGTGAACAAATAACATTATTCCCGGCACGGTTCTCACGATAACCTCCTCAGATTAGCATCTCTCTGCATTACCGATCGTACATGGAGGAGAACGAAAAGATCGGCGGCGGCGGCGATAAGGGGGGATCTGGTGGAGTCGTGCACGCGAAGATCGGGGACAAAGCGTTGCCGTTTAACTATTTCTGGTCCATCGGAGCCGCGGCTGCCCCGCGGCCGTCAAATTATCGAGAGTGATGTTGCGGTTTGCTCGGATCCGATGGGGTCAGAGTTGACACGAATGAAACAGGTCGTTGTCGGTTGACTATTAGAGCTCGCGCAGCAGATAGGATCGCCGGTGCGGTTTTACGGTTCCGACGGATGCCCGAGGGCGGTATACCGTACCGCGGTCGTGGCATATTATTTTTGAGTTTGGTAAAAATGACGCGGAGCCCGTATAAGGAAGCGGCCGCGGCGCCCCTGCCAAAGAATTCCTTAAGGGCCTTTTGCCTTGGCTCTTCAGCAGCAGTAAGACACCATACGAACGGTTTCATCTGCCGCTTGCTCTGGGATCAATGCTAATTAAATTTATATCAAAGAAATCCACCAAAAATTGAAATATGTCAATAGTTTTGCATACTGCGAGGGCCATTTCGGTGATGTATATATTGGAATCTCGGAAACTTCTAGGTTATTTCTGACAATGAATTAGACAATCCAACGACCTGTTATTAATTTTTGGTTTTAAAATGCCTTTTGGTTTACTTAGCTCTCGGTAAGTAGTGTGTAAAAGCATCGACTTTCGTTAGTGTAGCAATTTTATATTACTATAACAGCCCAAAACACTGTCGAGGCCACTTTTCACTTGTTAAGAGGCCGACTTCATTTATCACAAAAGAGTGGTGTTTTTCCTCTTCCACCATATATCTGTGAAATTTCTTCCCTGGTAACCGAAAAATCAATTTTGAAAAAATAAGGAAAACACCAAACAGATTATAATATTCATATTGGTGACTGATGGAACTCCATTAATTGAATAGTATATCTAAAAAAAATGGAAACTATCTATTAATTGTAGTTTCATCTGATATCTAAAAAAAGCATTTTATATAGTAAAGAAAACATTATTACAGTTGTTTTATATTACCAATATCGAGATTTTCTTGTAATAATAAAGAATATACAAAATAGGATGCGGCAAAAATCGACTTGAACACTTCAATACTCACCACACAAATGATTTTCTTGACCTGTTACAAATATTCGCCCTAGATATTGATTGATATTGATCAGGTGGTTTCGATTGCCTAATTAATGCATATTTGTGCGTGCCCGGAAAATATTATTTTTCAACAAAAATCAATCCTTATAAAAAAAAAATCTGGTCCTGATATGTCTATATTGCTCAAACTGCCAAAGATTTTCAATGCTACCAACGATTACTTCTAACACTTCAACACAAATTTAATTTTTCCGTCATGTTTTAAAATTGAATTGCATATTTCTTCTTTTTCATATATTTTGTAGCCATTTATGACAAAAAATACAATAAACTATCTGTCTTTTAAAATATGACTATCCGAAGAAATTTCTTTTTTTTAATAGTCGCGCACAACTTAAAACCAGTGGCTTCGAGAAATATTGTTAACTTTTTCAAAAAATATCGGGCAGCAAGTGAGCTAATGTAACGTAAAGAACGTCGAGATTCGTTTTATTGCCCAGAAAGAAATTTCTTTTATACAAGAAGTTTGTTTTGAGTTCATCTCTAACTTTGTTTGTTCCAATTTGTTACAAAAACACTTAAGCACCCTCTGCCATTTTATTTTTATAGATAGGGGAAAAAGTGTTTGACTCTAATTTAAACCAGTTCGTAAACGCCCCTGTCTGTTTTATCTTCGTCGGGTAAAATTTTTTCAATCGTTTGGTCCCGAATCAACGAAAAAGCGAAAACTCGTCCGCCATCAAGTGCACAGTAGAGTTGCAATAAATTTATAGATATTAACGGCGAACAAATACGCCGCAAATTAAAAAAAAAATCGATATCGAATCATCACGTCGGGGCTACGTTAACGAGCTTCAGTCCTCGGGGCCCACTCGCGATATTATTTAGTATTTATTTGAATTGCCTCGGGGGCGCTGGTTGTTTGACCTCTTCTGACCTCCCCCCCGTCCCCGACGCTCCGCTCGCCGACCCGCGGCAGCGCGTAGTTTCCGCGCGCGGAGGTGACGTTTTCCGTTCACAGTACTACCGCCGGCAATCTACGTGCACCGTAACCACTTTGTCTTTTTCTGCCGGAGTCGATACGCGCCGGGCGAGGCACTCGACCAATAATTCAATGATCAAACGAACTTACCTGGTAAGTGAAGTTCGATCGTAATTATATGTTACACCTCTTCGTAGAAATCAATATACGTAGTCCCCCTTCTAGTCGCTAGGTGGCACCACAGCTTTAAAGCAGAGCCAAAAAACTGTGGAATAACTTACCATGGACGGTATATTCGCCATCTATGGTCTTAACCTCATTCTATTTTAAAGCCCGTTTATAATAAATTTGCCAAAGGGCATTTTAGTACTGTTCAGAACAGTAAATTGGGCGGGAATGGGTGATTTCTACGAAGAGGTGTAACATATAATTACGATCGAACTTCACTTACCAGGTAAGTTCGTTTGATCATTGAATTATATGTTACACCTCTTCTATGAAATCAATATACGTAGACTTTCAAAGGCAACTCAGCAAATTTGTTATAAAACGATTTTATTCGGCTATATAAGGAAATCCAGAAAGTTTATGAAAGCCTCGAGTACAAATACAAAATAAATGGCTATCCGAGAAAACAAACCTTCTGAAAAATTCTATGTCCCAAATGTGGCATTAACAAAAAGGCCTGCACTTGCTGTACAAATAGGTCTATTATATAAAAGGGGAAAACATTTAGAGCATTCTCACCAATCTGCCGTTTTTCCAATCATATCAATTGAAACACCTTTACAAAACGCAGACGATGTTGAGGCATGTCGAGTTCTGTGAACAGTAAAAATAAAAGTGTAGACACCACTATCTTCTAAAGTTATCTTTATTCATCTACTTTTGTTGGGTATAGTTGCTGCCCTACAAGGCTTTTTAAATGTAATGAGTAAACGAGATTCACTGCCTCTTAAAGCACTGGCCCTCTCAATAATATATTTGAAACCACACAAAGATTTACATCTTCATATTTATGCAAAATTAAAAAACAGGTCGAGTCTTATTTATAGCTGAAATCTTAATTTGATTCGTTATTCTAATTTCTAATCCATCTGGAAATGATTTTATGTTGACCAATTCTATAAGAGAGAGCGTTTGGACTCTATGTACAATCGTTAACTTCAGTAGGAGAAACTAATTTAATTGCTTTAATGACAAGTCATTAGAACGTAACCCTTTTACAAAGTCAGGGACATAACTAGGGCCCCAAGTGCTGTTATATCTTGGTTTACTTGGCCTTAGATTATAAACACCTTAAAAAACCTAGTTAGATTTGCATTGTTAAATAAACCTGATCCAAAAATAAGGCCGTGCTGCACTGAAAGAACTCAATGAGCCATAGGACTTGCCTTGTCTAAAATGAATAGTAAGGAAATCCTAATGACAAGTCATTAGAACGTAACCCTTTTACAAAGTCAGGGACATAACTAGGGCCCCAAGTGCTGTTATATCTTGGTTTACTTGGCCTTAGATTATAAACACCTTAAAAAACCTAGTTAGATTTGCATTGTTAAATAAACCTGATCCAAAAATAAGGCCGTGCTGCACTGAAAGAACTCAATGAGCCATAGGACTTGCCTTGTCTAAAATGAATAGTAAGGAAATCCAATACAGCCTAGGTGAGAAGTAATAACACTCCACTCCCCTCCTTTCGTAGAAGCTCCACCAAAGTTTAAATGCATGCAGGTATTAAATGCCTCAAGGTAGCGCTCTGAACAGATGATAGAAAAATATCCAGCAAATCTTCTGGAATGCTTGCCTGACAAAATCCCTGCAGCCAGGGTAAGGGATTTCCACAAAGGGTGACCTCTCCTGTCAAAAGAAGAAGGTAATTTGTCTGGAATTAGAAACAATAAATAACTACAACGCCTCCCATGAAAAAAAAGCAAACCAATGCTGGCTGT